ATAGGCGGCGTGGCATCATGTGCGCTGAGTGACCACCCAGAAAGGGCAGCGTTCTCCGTATTGAGGGAACACCTGGCTTCGACATGTACCTTCTGCTTCTTTGCTACTCGAGCGGCAGGGTAGAAATCATCCAGATCACGGTATTTGATGATCCCTTCCATGCATCTAGTATTATCTGGAGGGCTACATGCCTCCACTTCTACCTATATGTAGCGAATCATTAGGCGATCACGGGCTGTGGCTGGTTTTTGATGGCAAAGGGAGATGTCTTAGTCAGTACTCAAGGTAAGATAATAAATTGTTTACCTTGCATCCGACTGAGCAAAACTGGGCCGCATCCATTAGGGCACGTTTGCATGAAATACATTCAAACCGGTCGCCCCGGTGCTTTAACCTGACCATGGAGCCTCTACAGGTGCCCCACTTGGTGAGATGTACGACCTTAAATCCATTACGCTCATACTGTTGTATCCCCATTATATTGATCACCCCTACGATATCTTGGACCTATACCACTTCATTCAATGATGCTTTACGCACCTGTATGATGATTTATGAGGCATTAGCTACATGTTGCAGTGGATAAAGATTAAAAAAGCAACGTGCTATTTGGTAAGCAAAAGTTTGAAAACCTGTAACATCCGGTGAGATGGATGACTTCCTTGGCAGACGTAGCACAAGGCCTCTTGCTGTAGTTCTCGACAGTCTAAGCAAAAGTAGCTGCATGGAATGTCTTTTTGTTCGCTGCTGTGCACTAGACAAGGGTGACCAAACTTGTTGCCGACCAACGCTGCAATGCGCTCGACGCTTATGTGGCTGACAGCCATTAGGTGTGTGCCTCGCTATGTTGGGGGGAGAAGGAGATTTCAACTATCAAATAGTTCTTAGTGTGGTGTTGTAGTTTACACCCTCCATCTAATACATTGCAATGCGCGTCCCCGCTCCTACATGGCAGTTAGCACTGCTGTGATTCAGTGCTTATGATAGGAGACAAGGTTACGTGATATCAAAGTAACATATTTGTGAGAGGGCGCAAGGCAGTGGAAGCTTTGTAAGGTGGTGTTTGGTTGCCTCTCCTAGATTTTAGTCGATGTCCCATCTAATGTTTGGACACATGCATTAAGTATTAAATATAGACTAATTACGAAACTAATTGCATAGTTTACGACTAATGTGCGAGATGAATCTTTTAAGCCTAATTAGTCCATGATTTAACAATGTGGTGCTACAGTAAACATGTGCTAATGATGGATTAATTAGTCTTAAAAAATTCGTCTCGTGGAGTACTGACGGATTATGTAATTTATTTATTTTATTAGTATCCGAATACCCCATACAACATCCTCCCAACATACCTCCTAAATTTTAGTCACTGGATCTAAACACCACCTAAGATTCGGATACCCCACTTATGTGTCTAGGCTCTACTTGCATGGTGCTGTCTTGGAGGCTCCAAGGGTAGGCTATTTATGGGGACCATGCTAGACTTGACTTGCTTGTTTTAATTGGTAGACTTTGATTCCCATGCACACATCAATTATTCAGCAATAGCCATACGGCCTTGACCTTACCTTTCATACGTGGCTATGCTACATATATGCTCCCTTTGTTCCCGAATAAATAGATTTCTAGAGTTGTCTTAAGTCAAACTTTTTAAATTTTGACCGAATTTCTAGAAAATGTAAGATTTATAGTATCAGATTAGTATCATTAGATTTGTCATAAAATATATTTTTTATAAGGTGTTCATTTTATTTCATAGATGTTGTTATTTTTTTCTATAAAGTTAGTCAAATTTTAAAAAGCTTGATTGACACGGATTCTAGGAATTAATTTATTTAGGGACGAAAGGAGGAATGATTTAGTCCACCTTTATAAGACCAAGAAAACTGAGCTATATTCATGCTAGCTCATCCACCATCTCATCTGAGTGGAATTCTTTGCACTAGACGACAGTCGAGGTGCGCCTCCTTTGCTAGCTAAGGGGATGAACTATACAGAACACTGGTTATATTATTTTTTATATTTTGATATTCTAAATTGATAATGCCCTAAAAGAACAGCTATCTGGAAATGTGTTACATCTCAGTATGCAAACACATACAATGGTCGGTCAGTACGCATAGCAGTTTTTTTATTGAGATCGGCCTCAACATCTCACATCTCACATCAATGCTCTCTTGTCCCGGCCGGAATTTTAGGTGCCACTAGAAAACAGCGCGGCTTTGCTGCGTCTTATATAGAATTTGGACCAGTGTTTGGCCACCTTCTGATGGAACATGCAAGCATACTGTGCACTGGTTATTTAGGTTGAACCTTATGATGGATATGCAGTTCGTATATGACTGTCAGATATAGATATATTTGTTAACATATTATGTATATAAAATAGTTTTACTCTGCCATAAATTGTACATTTGAAGTGATGTTGCTTCGTGGTCATCATGAGAATCTTCTGAAGAAATCAATGCAGGCTGCCAGCCTTTCAAAGTTTCAGAATCCACCGAGTACTACTTCCAAGTAACGATGGCTTTACGCATATGGTACATTAACCTATTTAATAAGGACAGATAGCTTAGCAGGTACCAAAACTTGATCGGGCTAAGCATAGAATATCAGGAATGTTATGGAAACCAATAGCATGAAGAAAAACACTTTTAAGTTGTTTTAACCCATAGGGATGTCTTGTAAGTTGTAACCCATTCAACTCAAAAAGGTATCAATGAGTAAAAATGGTAGTTGTAGGATTATTACTTGAGAAAGCATTATTTTTCAGGTAACAATCCTTATGCGTTACATGTCTTAGTTTTTAGTTGTTAAATGAAGCTCTGCGCTCGACAGGTAGCAAAGTACGATCCTAGATATATTATAAAAATTCGATGATTAGTCAAATACTAAATGACTATTTTCTAAGAAAGCTTAGAATTGAAAATCACATATTAGTGAGGCCCATGTGAGGATAAGATATTTGAAAAAGTGCATTCGACTTATACAATCAATACCTAGGATATTCAGCTAACTACAGTTCAAATTGTAGCTTTAATTTTTTTTACATAAATGAATGCAACTATGTATTTCTAATTTCAGTTCTAACACAAATTTATAGATACATTTAGAGCATGCTGGCAATCCCTGAATTTATAGGAATTGATCTAATTACGGGCAAGCTCTTTATTAAGTGTAATCTGAAACATGTTAGCTAGCGTGTGAGCAGGACTGCTATGTAAAGAGGAATTAATATATCTCAAAACCGTAAGTAATTGATTAGGAAATAAGCCATAATACCAAATGTGTTAGGCATAATCCTGATACCAAAAGATAGAAAATCTATACAATCAGTTTCAGAATTTAGGGATGCATCATTATTTTTTCTATGGATTTTAAAATTTCTTGTATGAACAAGTACATACACACCGAATTATCTAGGTTGTTCTATTCACCTCTTTGAAGCACGGAGAGCCTTGGATGACCGCTTCAGCACTGCTTCCCTGGCGGTCAGCAACGACACTGCCTGATCAAAGCAGGGGAGAGAAGCTTCATAGGCGACCATGCAGCGGCTGGCTCTGAGTATGGCCTGTCTCCGTGCGGATTTTGTAGGCTAGTAGCCCTTCCACAGAAAATCACGAGCAGCCACAGTTGTGGGCTTGTGGCATTCAGGTTTTTTTTTATCTTAACTCTGTGCTTTGAGCATGACTTATTGCAGTTACAAAATCAACAATCATGTGAAGTTGGACCTCAAGCAAGAGGTGAGTCCAGCAAGTTACTTCCATCTGTCAAGCAAAATAAGACAAAAAAAAACCTCACTGATCAAGATCCTATTGACAATCATTACTCAGAATGCATTGCTTCCTGTGGTCTATGCAATATTGCTCCTGGATCACCAGCAAGGTGATGTGATCATTAAGAGGGTATAAAAGTTGAACAAAAAGTGGCATTAGCACATGGGGAAACCTTCAACATCACATGGGGAAGCCTTCAGCAGCACAACCATTGCAGTCTGAGAATGTATTTATCAAGAAGGTATTTAGATTTCAAGGGGTTGCGTCAAGAACACATCCATTTGTTGTTACCTAGTCATGACAGACATATCAAACACCTTGTGCCTGAATTCAATTAGTATTTAAGTGCTGCTTGAACTGAATAGAAAAGCAAATAGCTATTTAAGAACTGAAACATAGTATTCTCTTTGCACACCTAAGAAATTGTGACCAAGCTAGTCCGGGACAGTGACCAAGCTATTACTAGTTCCTAAATCATAAATAGCAGGTATCAAAGACATTTCACACACATTAGTAGCTATCATACAGTGAGTACAAAGAGGACTGGCTAGAACCAGTACTGCAAACAAGATCACAAAGACAGCCCCAACATGCCTTGATTCATGGTATACTCATGGAGACAAAAGGCTGTGCTGTTTACCTCATGGGAATTTTGTCGAATATCTCCTGTGCGCTATAGTTGTCGTCGATGTCCAGTCCATCACCGGCTGGCGTTCCACATCTGATCTGCTGTAATTTATATTAAAAAAAGATACGTCAATTTAAAAACTTACTGTATCAAGGATGAACTAATATCTGCTTTAAACATCCGCATCAATTGACCCTTATTGTATTGAAGAGGTTCAAGCGAAAATGGAAGAGACGAATCGAACCAGGAAATGCTATAGCTAGGAAACAGTTTTGTCAAGGTGCAGGTGCACATAGAATTGGTTTTTGCTGCTGTGCAGGGTCCAAGCCATCTCTTCGCAAATTGATTGTAGCCATCCCACCAAGATTGACAAAAAATCAGTCTTATAAATGGTTGACTCAAGCTTCAGCATGCATCATTGAGGACAAGCACCACATGAGCAAGAGGAAAAACACAAGGTGAAGACGAGCCCTTACCAAATTGAAGAAGAAGACACCATGAGGGGCTACTGCGTGTGGGGAGACGTTCTGTTCGTCAGCTTGGATTGAACCTCAGTATGATGCTTCAAGGGACGAGGGGGACTGGGAGACCGAATGACGGCTGGAGTGGAGCCTAGCGGCGCTGGACGACCGAGACCTTCATTGCGAGGGCCGAGCGCTCCACCGACGGGGACGCCGCGCCGGGGTCGCCGTGGGAGGGGGGCCGCCGTGGCTGCAGCGCTCGAGCTTCACGCCCGCGCCGGGGTGGCCGCAGCCACCATGCTTGCGCTCGCTGCCCGCTCCAGGGTGGCCGGAGCCGCCACGCTCGCAACGCCGGTCGCGCCGGGGATGTCCGAGACCAGAGAGGCCGGGGTCGCCGCGCCCGTACCTCGCCTGCGCCAGGGTCACCAGGAACGACGCGCACGCACCCCTTCCGCGCTGGGGCTGCTGGCCCACCGGGCCGCGTCGGGATGAGGGAGGTATGGGGTGTCGGGATGAGGGAGGTGCGGGGGCGGCGGAGGACGGCCACATCGAGCGCGGTTGCGCCGCGCGGCTCTGTTTCCTCTGCACGACGGGCAACCCTCGGGAAGGTTCGTGGCTTTACAGGTCGACGCCCGAACCGACCTCCAATCGGACGGACCAGATCGCATGAACGCTCGATCCAACGGCTAGCGGATAAACGGGTGACGTGGCCCGATCCTCTACCCGTCTTTTGAAGGCAGGATTCCTATGTGAAGATGTCGTGCTATTTCTGTTCATGTTCCTGCCATGGCATCTTCTACCCACGGACAGGTAGTGAGCCTAAGGCGAAGACCTCTAGCAAACCATCTGGCATTCTCACTTGATTTTAGATTGAGGGGATCCTAAATAATGGCAACCCTTTTCCTTTTTTTTCTAGGGGTGTTTAGATCCGATGACTAAAATTTAGGACGTGTCATGTGAGGTTGTCGTATGAGGTGTTCAGATACTAATAAAAAAATAAATTATAAAATCCGTCAGTACTTCATGAGACGAATCTATTAAGCCTAATTAATCTGTCATTAGCATATGTTTACTGTAGCACTACATTGTCAAATCATGAACTAATTAGGCTTAAAAGATTCGTCTCATAAATTAGTCGCAAGCTGTGCAATTAGTTTCGTAATTAGTCTATATTTAATATTTCATGCATGTGTCTAAACATATGATGGGATGGCAACTAAAGTTTAGGAGGAGAAACCAAACACCTCCTTAATCTAGCTTGCATTATGGTCTTCCTGGACCACGTAGCCGGTAAAAAAAACATAATATTGGCTACTGCTTCCTTCTCTAGCGTGTACTTGCTCATCTTCTACTCCAGGCGTGCCATCGCCTCAACTTCATGCGCAGATGAACGGAGGACTAGCATACGCATTGCAGGGTGTGCCACACTCATTCTTGTGTTGATTCTAGGCTTCCAGGTAATTATAGTATATTGCATAGTCAACAATAATCTATGTGTCTGCTTCACCGATTCTTGTGGTGCCTCTTTGTTAGAAATATAGGCAATATAAACGACAAAGAACAACATATCAAACATAGGGGACATGAGATTTTAACGTGGAAAACCCTCCCAAGGAAGAATGGAAAAACAACAGGCACCAGCCAGCAAATCTTCACTATATCGGGTGAGGTTACAAACGTCGGAGATTTACAACTTTTCTTATCCCAAGACGACGGTTTACAGGAAGTATATATAGAGATGGAAAAACCCGGCCCAAGCCTCCCGGCGACAGGCCTCGCTTCGTTCCGTCAGAAGTTAGCCTTTATCTTGTACATAACTGAATTTGGATCACAACTCAACAAACTCCACCTTGAGACAAATTCCTTCTTGTAGCATAAAACGAACCTTCACCCTAAAACAACAAAGAAATACTTCTGGTGCCAAACAACCTCTTGGGCTAAACAGTTATACCAACTAAGCTTGAGCAAAGCTCAAACTTAGCAACAGGAACTGACTTTGTCAACATATCAGCAGGATTATCATGTGTGCTTATATTGCATATCTTCAACTTACCTTGCGCGACAACATCGCGAACATAATGGTATTTGACATCAATGTGCTTCGTTCTCTCATAAAACATCTGATCTTTAGTGAGACATATAGCACTTTGACTGTCACAAAACAAATTAATGCAAGAATTATCTCCATAAAGCTCAACAAACAAACCTTTCAACCAAACTAATTCTTTACATGCTTCAGCAACAGCCATGTATTCTGCTTCAGTGGTAGACAGAGCAACAACGGGCTGCAATGTTGCCCTCCAACTCATAGCACAACCACCAATAGTGAACACATAACCTGTGAGAGATCCCCTCTTATTCAAATTGGTAGCAAAATCTGAATCCACGTAGCCAGTGAATCCCTTATCAGTCTTGCCAAACTTCAAGCAAGCATTTATTGTAATACGAAGATACCTGAAAATCCACTGAACAACCTTCCAATATTCTTTACCAGGATTAGCCATGTATCTACTAACCAAACTCATAGCATATGATAAATAAGGATGAGAGCAAACCATGGCATACATCAAAGAACTAACAACACTAGAATATGAAACTCTTGACATGAACTCAAAATCCTCATCTGTACTAGCACATTATAAAGCTGATAATTTAAAATAAGGAGCAATAGGAGTACTAACAGACTTTGCATCATGCATGTTGAAACGATGAAGAACTTTCTTAATGTAACTTTGCTGACTAAGAAATAATAAACCAGAATGTCTATCTCTTGTAATCTCTATACCTAGAATTTTCTTAGCAGCACCAAGATCCTTCATCTCAAACTCACTACTCAACAGTTTCTTCAATGTAGTGATTTCTTTCTTGCTCTTGGCAGCAGTGAACATATCATCAACATATAACAGCAAGTATATAGGTGATCCATCAACAAATTTAATGTACACACAGCTATCAAATTCAGACCTCTTAAAACCATGTGACATCATAAAAGAATCAAACCTTTTATAGCATTGACGAGGAGACTATTTCAAACCATATAAAGATCTTTTTAATTTGCAAACATGATCCTCCTTACCAGGAACTATGAACCCTTCTGGCTGGTCCATGTATATCTCCTCCTCGAGCTCTCCATGTAGAAACGTAGTCTTTACATCTAACTGCTCAAGTTCAAGATCTCGCATAGCAACAATATCGAAAAATGTATGAATTGAACTATGCTTTATAACTGGAGAGAACACATCATTATAATCAACACCAGGAATCTGACTGAAACCTTTTGCTACTAACCTTGCCTTAAATCTTGGAGGCTCACTGGGAGATAAACCCTTCTTTCTCTTAAAGATCCATTTGCAACGAACGACCTTCTTTTGTTTAGGCAAGCGCACAACATCCCATGTGCCATTTTTCTCGAGTGACTGCATCTCCTCTTGCATGGCAGAAATCCACTTCTCGCGGTCACCAGAAACAACAGCTTCAGTGTACGTAGCCGGCTCATGAATGTTCTCCACCTGTTCGGCCCAAGCCTCCTGGCGACGAGCCTCGCTTACATAACTGAATTTGGATCACAACTCAACACTCTTGACCTTCAGGTACAGGAATATGCTGCACAGTCAACAATGATCTATATCTAGATGATTGCAGTATGTGTCTAGCTAGCTGTGTTGATAATTCTTGAGGTTTTGCAAAGACATAAACATAGTGAAGGATTCAAAGCAGACCAATCTAGTCGACAATAGGTTTATTTGAAAAGAATAGCTAGATCTCGAGCTACAAGGCGATGATGCGGTTATGGCATGTCATCCTCGTGTGTGGTTAGATGCTTCATACAAGTACGAAGTAATACTAGGTTAGGGTTACCCATTTAGCCACGGTAATCCTAGTTAGTTGCCAATCTAATGACCATCTGGTGTAATGTCCATTTCTACATGATTGTATTAACTCTGTGCTTACTTTACGGAATATAGTGCGCCTTTGCATGTTTTTGGTAAGCTTCAAACCGTCGGACTCAATACAAGATGCTCTAAGGCGCACAGACATCCTTGTTATGTGCATGACAGTTTTAATGGGCAACATTACCATTGTTGAGAGTACATGAAAGGCACTGTTCAAATATTATAAGGCATGTGTAAAGGATTATATTACTAGATGTTATAGTTTTTTGCAAGCTATAAGAGATTATATTGATATTATTGTTGTTGTTGTTTGTGTGTGTGTGCGGCGTGTTGTTTCTTTATAGTCTTTGTAATTTAAGGCCTCAAGTAAGGGCTACGCCCATGCCCTTCAAGTTCTTGAGTCTTTGCATCAAGTGTTTCATGGAAGGACTTAAACCCGAGCTAGCTATATATTCAAAATGTCGTTGATAGTTGAAAGATTACGGCCACTCTAGAGTTGCTGCTGAAGTTATCTGTGTTTTTCAGAGACTTGCATGAGTTTGGTCTCTATTAGTGCTACCTCCAGCTCAAAAGAATGTCGTCCTAAATTCGAACTCAGACAAAATTTGTAAACTTTCAATAGATTTATAAAAAAGAAAAATTTACCGCCGGTCCCTAAACTTGTCCGGCGGTGTCATCCAGGTCCTTGGACTTCTAAAGTGATATCTATGGGTCTTTAAATTTGGCAGACGATGCCATCTAGGTCCCTGAACTTTAAATGTGATCACTACAGGTCCCTAAACTTGGCCGATGGTGTCATCCCGGTTCCTAAACTTTTAAGGTGATCACCACAGGTCCCTAAACTTGGCCGGCGGTGTCATCCGGTCCAAATGTGGTCTAACCCACTCTATAAGCTGGCGAGGCACGCTGACTGTACGTTAGACGTGAATCCAACATGTGTAAATTAATCAATCCTTATTTATATAATATTTATCACAAAATTATAAATCATATAAAATAATTTACGTCAGCAAAAAATAAATTAAAGTATTAAAATAATTTACAACAACAAATACATTAGGTTTAAATAAAGCATATTTACGTCAGCAAAAAATAAATTAAAGCATATTTTCAAACTTAGTTAAATATCAATGTGCGAATATTTATTCATACCCATCACGGTCCATATTTGAATTCAAATTTGAAGTAAAATGTGCAAAATAGTTGTAACCAAATTCCATTCCATGTGGAAACGATTTGGATCCATCCTTACAAGCTTTGCTAATCACACGAATACATCAACAAAAAAAGAAACAGTGGCTTCCACTAACATGCATACACTGGTACCTTGGTAAGGGTATGCGCTTAGGTCCTCTCGCTGCTTCCACATCACCTAGCCTTTGTTACAAGCTTCCAAGTATTTGTTTATGTGCTGCAGTGACCCCATGCCTCTATGCACGAATAAAGGACAGGAATAGTATGCCATACTGTACATTGGTACTAAGACATCAATTAGTATTGTCTCTTTTAGGAAAGTTGCTACATACATATGAACACTTGAACTGTGTTTTGTCATATCACCTTATGCGCTAGTGTTGTGTCGGGGACCAATACTAGGGT